CCACCAACCTGCATTAGACCCTGACCAAACCCAGCTTGGCTCACATGGCCAACTTGAGAACCTTGGAGGCCACCAACCTGCATTATACCTTGGCCAAACCCAGCTTGGCTCACCTGGCCAACTGCCTGCTGGGTTCCTCCTGAAACAAGCACCATTTGAGGCTTGGATTCAACTACATACATGGGCGTAGCAGCATAGTACATGGTAGGCTGCTGTATGAGCAGTGTTTGGTTAGGAATTACTACCTTTTCCCGAACTTGGACATTGGGAACAGTTGCAGAACCTTGGGATCTCTCAGTAACTCGCTCCTCTTGAATGATCGTGGAAGACTCAGACGTTACTTTGGAGGTGTTGAGGGTGTTGATGTTTGCAGTGTCCCTGTCTCTGGCAGTTTCTGTACGAGTATGAACATGGGTCATGGTGGATGGCCTGACCTGGGGCACTGGTTTGATAATGGGACGAGAAACTTCTACATTTGCTGACTTGCTCACAAGAGATCCACCATGACAGATCTCAGCCAGTGTTAGGAATTTTGGTCCAAGGTCATCAAGGAAAGCAAGGTCATTGTCATTTTCAAGAAGGCTGCAGCAACCTACAGAACCCGCAAGTGACCCTTGACCCTCGTAGCCGTAGACCTGGGATAGTTCATTTTCTTGATATTGCTGTGAAGCTTCATTTGCTTTCTGGAAACAAAAAAACAAGCAAATATTGCAACGTAAACAGCACATAATAATGTACCATATCTATATACCAGTCGATAAAATGTAGCTATGACGTAAAATAGTCATATATAACAGGTCTAAATAAAGTCATTTTTATGAGTAAATCTTGAACAAACATTTGAACTAGCAAACTCATTCAGCAGTGTGCTCACCTGTGAATAGTACTGCCACAGAAAATTATCTGATAGGGCCATTCCATCGAAGGCTCCGAATTCACGATGGGAGAAACGCATATCTTGTCCTCCCATCTTCTCTCCACCCATAAATCCATTGTACTCTTGCCCACTGGAATATCCGTAACGGTCGTATGTGTACATGTCCTCTCCTGTCATGGTTAATCCTCCACCTAGAGCTCTATCGGTTTCAACCAGACCTGACATGTATTCCCTTCCCCTAACAATGTTGATGTCCTTTGCATTCAAGGTACCACCATCCATATTCACTGGAACTTGTAAAAGAGGAACTTCCTGTGTTAAAAAAGAAAAAAGAAAAAGTACATTCTGCGATGAAGCATTTTTCCAGAAAGCTAAATATTTAAACATTGCAAAAATTTTCTGGGAAAAAAAAAGAAAAAAGTACCTTGTCTTCTCCTTGTCCCTCTGTGTGATAGGAGATGAGTTGTTCTTTTGCATCAAAAGGTATGGCCTTGAACTCTCTTGCTGCATTTCCACACAGGCAGAACAGCAGAAGAAGGGGAATCACTGAAAAACCATCAGAACAATTTTATTGTTACGGTTTCCTCACCCCTTCCTTCCCCAAGGCCGTGGACATGTAACAGAACCTCAACTGAGCTGAAGGTCACCTCTTATCTGGACAATGGCTGAGAGGGGGGGCTCTGGACTAGGCTACAACTTTCCCTTAAAAATTCAATGTTTTCACCGGCCTATATGTAAATGTATAACGTCTGTTTATGTTGCTTTCTGTGGTAGGTTTTTTTGATGCCTCAAATCGTGCCCTGTCTAGGATACGGCGTGAGAGATCTTTTTTTTTTATATACCGTCTCTCCTCATGTTTTCTTTACTTTTCTAACCACTGTTATTGTTTGTCCAAACAGGTCTCACTTGTAAATGAGTCTTCGAGGCTCAATGTGATTTATCTGTTTAAATAAAGGTTGGGGAAAAAAGGTATAGTGAACAAGATTAACTAAATCTATTGAAATCATGTATGGCTTTCTTTGAGTAGAATGCTTTTTCGTCAACAGATTGATCTAGTTTGTGAAAAAAGGCAAATAGTTGTGCAATGCAAGCTGCAGCCATCATGCATCTCTTTCAAAGACCCACCCTTTTAAATCTTTGTATGCATGACACAGCTTGTATTGTTAGGTAACTTTAAAAGAAAAGGTAAACCACTTGTGAATATTTCCAACTGCCCCCACCACTACTTACACAGAAGAAGCAGCAGTCCCAGCAGCAGGAGCAAGATTCCTCCGACTCCAAAAACTGAAGAACGTGAACTACGTGGCCCACAAGTTTTAGTGTTTTTTTGGCATGTGCACACCAATAAATCTATTATCTGGGCATCAGCACACGACTTTCCCTGCTGGTCTGTGACCTCCACCTGCACACTGTATTTGCCTGGCCACAAGTGGGCTTGGTCTCGCAGAATGACTGTGGTTTCTAAAAATAAAAATAAAAAAGACAATAACCAAAGTTAAAATTTTGAAGTTTGAGGAATGAAAAAGGGCAATTGGCACATAAATAAATATCTGTACATAAGCAATTCTGTTGATGTTCTTATGACATATAATTCTGAAGGGAAAATGTTTCTGAGCTTATGTTAAATTTACATACTCAGTCCTGCATTTTCTATGTATTCTTAAACAAGGCAAGTGAACAGAGAAATAAAAGCAACTTTGCTGTACCAACTCTCACCTAAAAGCTGGAACTATATGTTTTTTATAATTTGATCTAAACACTGGCAAGCCTTTTTAACAGGGAACTGCTAACCAACTGTTCTAATCAGCTTACCATTTAGAGGCTCCACTGTCCATTTCTGTTTGTTATCCCCAATCACAGTGAAGTGAAATGGTGCCGAATTGGGGAACTCATCTTTATCTACAGCAGTGACATAAATGAAAGTATCATCAAAGCACATGTTCTGAGTTTTGGTGGTGAGTTCTGGGCAGTGATCGTTGAAGTCCTCCACCTGAATGGCTATGGTCCCTGTTGCAGTTTTTGAGGGAAGGTCTGAAAACCAATTAAGGCAGAGTTAAATTGAAATCTTTGGCAAGTTCTATCGGTATGAAGTGCAAAAAGAGTGCAACATATCTTACTGGACTCACCATTGGAAATGCATATTATTTCAGCATAATATGTTCCATTTTTCAAATACTTGGATTCTCGATCAGGCAATTTATTCAGCTTGATTTCTGCTGTCGTTTCATCAACAGACAACCAGTTGTCCTCATCATGCAACTTTGCATATCTACATGTAAAAGAAAAAATATAACAATAATACATATTAGAACCACAAAAAATTGGTATGAGCAAATCAACCTAATTCTGAAAACAACTGTCCTATTTAAAAAAAGAAAACCTATTCAGTAACGAGTGAAAGAGTATTAGAGGGACATTACCTCACATTGGTGGCAGTTTTTAGTGTGTCGCTGTCTATAGCGGCGTACGTAGTGATGACTTTGTTGATGGAGACTGATGAGGTGTCCTCGGAGACAGTCACCACTTTTACGTTTGGCTGGAAACGGGGACCCTCCTTCTGATTGATGACATTTATTTTGATGGGATATGATTTGCCTGCACCAGCGACAGCCCCCGTCATTGACCCAGAGCCAAAGTTGTACTCTGCCTTGTTGGCAACCTTCAAGTCCAAATTGAGTGACTGTATTTCCTCATAGTCTAGGGCCTGGGTGATAAAGAATGAAGCATGAATGATTGGAATTCTGTCTCTTTATCATACACAATTTAAGTTTGTAAACACTTTTTACCTTGTTTATTGTGATGATTCCCTCATTGGTTTTAGAATCAGTTGTGATATTGAAATAACCTCCCTCATTCCCAGAAACGATCTCAAAAACCGCAAGCCAGCTGTCCGTGTAGCTTAAATCCATGTCTGTGGCTTTTATCCTCAAAACTTCCATTCCGATTGTGTTCTCCTCCACACTGGCCTCATACTGCAAAGAAACTGGACGTCAGCCTCTGTTTTTTGACATGATCAGCCTAACGGGTTAAAGAAGAAACAAAGATCCTTGCTGTGCTAGCGGTGTCACACATACCGATTCTTTTTCCAGCACAGGAACGTTGTCATTTATGTCCCTAATACGAATCTCAATTTCACCGCTTCCCGAGTTTCCTCCTGCTTTTCCATTCATGTCAGAGGCAATAATATTCAGCTTATACACGTCTTTTGTCTGAAAGGAAAGAAAGGGATGGAATAAAATGCACCGAATATTGTTTTGTACTTTTCAAAAGCTTCTTATTAAACATATGCCTAATCATTTGTTGTTAAAAACATGCTGTATTATAGTATATTGGTTTTTTATGTTATAGGGACTTTATAGTGACTTACCTCTCTGTCCAGATTACTCTGTTTAACCTTGATATCTCCAGTTCTAGAGTCAATATAAAACATATTCGCTCCATTACTCTTCGCATCAATTTGGTATGCGATTTGGGCATGAGGTAGTCTCTTATCATCTGCATCAGTGCCTATTACTTTCATGACAAGGGTCCCTAAAAAAAAATCAAATACAATGGATTAATTATGGTAAGCAGTGCCGATGTTTCTCAGATGTTTGCAGCTCTTACTCACCTGCACTGCTACACTCATCGACTTCTCCAACTTGCTGTGTTTGAATGACTGGTGCGTTGTCATTCATATCTACAATCTCTATTGTAAGGGCAATATCCTTTTCAGCACGAGACCCATTGAGGAATTTTGCCACACCATTTAACTAAAAAAAATAATAAAAATGATAAAATGAACAAGCTATATATTTGCCTTTCTTTCACAGGACTCGTTTTTTTAAGAAACAATGTTTTAAACGTGTTCTTACGTAGTACACAGGGATTTCTTCTCGATCAAAAATGGTATAGACTTTCACGTAGCCAGTGTTCGGGTCAACAGCAAATCTACCTTTAGGATCCTGATCAACACCAGGACCAGTTATTTGATATCTTATCGCTGTGAAGTTCTCCTTATCCGAGCGAATCTGAAACACAAAGACGTTTATTTCCTTTAAATCACAAGTTAAATTAAAATTAAAAGGCATCCCATTCGCAGGATTATTTACAGTACTTCTAGCGATCTGCATTCAAGCTTGTTTTTCTAATATAATTTCAAATGCTGTTTTTTGTCTTTCATTTTAGGGTACATTTCTCACAACCTTTTTTTGTTGTCGTTTGTTTTCAGCTGCTCCTTTCTTCCACAGCGAACTAAGTCACACATAGACGTGGCAATTATTTTTACACCGGCTGCCCTTCCTGACGCAACCACCGAGCTACCACAGCCCTCTGTGTGGAGCAGAGAGCTGCTGTCTAGTGTGCCCGGGGGAGCAAATGGAGGAGGTAAGGGGCCTTGCTCAAGGGCCCAGAGTGGGGCAAATAAGGATGGAGGCAGGTGTGGGTGTTTCACCTGTCCCACCCATGTTTTAATTATGTTGGTATGGGGAGTTGAACCGGCGACCTTCCGATCACAGGCCTACCTTCTTTAGCCTCTGTGCCACCACTCCCCCACATTTCTCACAACCTTACACGATAATAAACCTGAAAGCAACATACTAGTGATATTTGCAACTAATTACACACACAAAAAAACTTAATGAATAAACAAAAAATATGAGGAAAAATACAATTTTATGGATTTCTTTAATAAAAAAATGAAAATCTCAGGTTGTACTTGACTATTTCTGGGCTTCATTAACTTAAGGCTGATGGAAGTGTTATGGCCGCAGCCGATTCCTTTTAACTGGGAGAACTAATTTTGTTGATACATGTTTTGCTTTTAATATGAATGTAATTAAATTGGCACCATGCGAGTTAGAAATTTCTGTGAAACAAAAATGAATCTTCTAACAAGGGTCAGGTCCTCTGGATGGATTCTTCTTTCCAGAGGACCTTGTTAACCTGGATTATTGAGCATGCATCAGAAAAACAAAAATCTCGTTTTTCTTACACAGACTTTTTTTGGGCTATCTTTATCTGTCTTATAATAAACCATGACTTAGGTGTTTAGATTCATTCCAAAAGCAACGCAAAATGGTTGAACCAGCTCAGTTGACAACAAAGTTGAGTCTTTAAATATAATTTGGACCCCAAACCATGTATGTTGATTTGAAACAACATATATGTTTAATTCTAAATAAAGATAATTGGTTTGTGGAAAACTGGTCATTTTTCATTTAATAAATACAAATATTCAGCTTTTTTACGTAACAAACTCACATTCAACCAACAAGAGCCAATCATTTAACAAACCTATCGTCAATCTGTTTAAGTATTTAAAATGTATTTCGATTTAAGTCACTGTGATTTGATTGTTCTTTTGTAGTGTAGTCTGAACAAAAGACGATTCTGTCAGCAACAAATGACTCACTGGGTGCATAGAAGTGTGTTTTGAAGAAACCAGCTTGATGAGGAGACGCCTAAAAAAATCCACTTAACACTTACACAATTAAGGATTAAACTGTTGCTTCACTAATAATGGCATGTCTAAACGAATAGAAGTATGGCATATTATTTAAAAAGCTATTTTTTTAAAATTTTTTAAAAGAAAAGCAAAACGAAGAAATGCACACCTTAGCGATAAAGTCGAATGAAGTGTAATCTTCATTCTCCACAAGCTTTCTGGGAGCCAGGATCCACTCTCCCCTCACAGACACAAGCTGCAGGTAAACAAAGAGGACAGAAAATAATAATTATCATTATACATGTGTAAAAACCACAAGGTCACAGGACATGGAGCTGCTGCAGTTTCACCTCATCTGCTGACTTTATTGACCTTAGAAGTATGGGCCTGAGAGAAAAGGTTAAAGAGGTTTTGGAGTTTTCAAATCTGCTGTGGTCAAAAAGACACCACTAAGATGCTTACAACACAGTCATATTTTATTTAGAGAATATTCTACAGATGCATTAAATTGTCACTTTATGTGGGTATTGCTATAAATTTGGTTTAATAAAGCTTCCATTAATTTGACGTATTTGACACATGACACCAGGACCCAATTAAATGAGACGTTTCCACATCAGTTATTTATGAAAAAGAGGAAATGGGAGAACAGTACTCGCGAGCTACAAAAAAAAAAAAGCGATAATAACTGTGTAAACACGAGTAACAGCGCAAACAAAGGTTTAACTGAGGCGTTTTCGGGAACAGAGGGGCCACACCTGTTGAAAGTTCTGCTTTCCGACGCTCTAAAATGGATCTAAAACGCATCATTTCCTTACCGCGAGGAAGGAGGTGAGGAGAAGGAGCGTCCCGCATTTCAGCAGGCCAGCCATGGGTCAGGAAGAGGGGAAACAAACACAAAATGTCCAAAGTGCTGGTTCGAAGAGAAACAGAGTCCGTTTGAGCTGTGCTGTGTCTGTCACACAGACTTTGATCCAGAAAGGAGGAGGAGACGAGTTTTACAGTGGAACCGGGGCGTGCCTTCCGTTTCATTGGTCATTAGTTTCTGCTAGGACGACTTGTTGCGTAGTCTGTTTTTTATTATTATTATGCAAATAAACAAATACAAACATAAAGTAATAATGGTGGTGGGGGGACATGAGGAAGGGGATAGTCTGGACTGATCGTGTTTTAGAAACGGGCGCTACTAAAAGCGCCACTGGGGAACACATTTCTCAGGTTACACTTCTTTACCTTTCAGACCTGAATCAAACGTGAACACGTCCCGTGAACACCCAGCTGTTACCCAACCTGCCACAAAGCTGCTGCCCGGCACGAAGAAAAACAAGATAATGGCAGCAATATACTGCATGTGCAAATGGAGCCTATAGTCAAGTCAAATTTAATTATAGAGCACGTTTAAAACAGAAACTGTTACCAAAGTGCTTAACAAAAATATCACTCAGTGTAAAGACTGCAGCAGAGTGAGGGGATGAGGTCAGTTAGTCCTTCAGCAGCCGAAGCTTATAGCAGCGCAACTATAGGACGGCTCAAGTAAACCCAAGCCAACACTAACTATAGGATTTGTAATAAGGGGCTTATGTAGTTTTAGAAGTACACAGGGTGTCAGCGTCATGAACAGAAACTAAGTTACTTCCACAGGAGGAGGTCCTGATAATCGAAAGCTCTGCCCTCAATTATTTTAGAAACTCTAGGAAACACAAGTAAACCTGTAACTCATGTGTTTTCAATAATGGTAAATATAAGCTGCAATAAAACGTGATAACAAAGCCTCACTTAACTTGGGGGAGTAGTCTTAAGGTCCTTGGACTGACATCAAAATGTGGGAGGAAAAGGTGAAGCGCCCACACCTGCCTCCACCCTCATTTGCCCCACTCTGGGCCCTTGAGCAAGGCACTTAACACCCTAAAAAGAATTGCCACGTCTTCGTATGAGTTAGTTCGCTGTGGCGACCCCTGAAGAAGGGGTCAACCATCAGAAAAACAACGCCTCACTTAAATAGCATCCTTCTCTATTACTTAAATAAATGAATACAATTTACCCTACTCACACATTTATAGTATTGATATGTCCAAACGAAATCATATATTTTAAGTTTGCCTCTCCAGTTAAAATCCAAACCAGTTTGGCTTATTTACTTCAATATTACATTGATAAAAATCAATCAGAGTGTTGTTTTGTTCAAAACCCCACTTTAGTCTCTAGTCTCAGCGTGTGCAACTTCAAATGTAACCCTTGTTTCATGCAACTTGCACACAACACAGCATTGAAATGCACGTTGTGAGTGCAGCCACAAACAAAGAGCTTGGAGGTATTTTGAATTAGAGTTGCATTTATCTCACAGAACATTTCCTATTTATTCCTCAATCCCAATCTAAACTAACACGCTGCAATGTTTGTTACCATGTCACATTTGATTACTGAAGTGACTCAGACAATGAAAAAGTTACATTTTCTAGAGGGGGAAAAAAAAAAAAGTCATCTTCATTTTGCAGTGTATGAGTGAGCTTTATAGTATTATAATTTTAAAACTGACATCAGAACAGAATCCCTTGAACTGATGCTTTCCCACACGTTTGTTAAACTTCACCAGCACACATGAAATTCCAAAGTGGAGCCCTACAAATTGTAGATTCGCCCACTTCACCAGAACGCCGGACGTGTTTTACAAGAAAACTGATGCAAACAAAGCACTGCCGCGATGCACAGTATACCCACCTACCACAGGATAGGTGTGTGTGAGAAAGTGCACTGCCAGTTTCATCTTGTCAGATGGAATGTAGACAACCATGAATCACTTATTAGTCATAGAGACAGAAAGTGAGTTGCTATCTTTTGTTTTTGTTCTCCTTCGCTGAACTGGTTGTTTTGGTGTTAAAATAAGCTAAAACAAAGTTGGAACTGGATTATTTCGGTTCAAGTCTAAATATTTTTCACAACGGGCTCATTAGAGGCGTTTAGCGTTTGTTGTGAAATGCGGTAAAGCGGGTCTTTTGTTAGGTTGGTCTAGGCGCGTCACCCGTCTCTAAAGCTTGAGGGACTTTGGAGCAAGCGACGTCTTTTCAGCGCACAACGTCTTCAGGCGACATACAGTCAATTCTTTACCCCGTAGCCTTGACAGCAGCCTTTGAGTTTGCGGTTGTTTTGACTAACTAATAAATCTACACTTTGGAGCGTGGATGCAGGTATTTGACTGATTAAATGTAGGCTTGTGTTTTAACCAACTGAGATATTAGGGATTGTGAAAACCAGATGATTTGATGTATGGCAGGACTATTCAACTAAATTGCTCAGGGGACCACAGTTACTGAAAGCCAAGAGCTTGGTGGCCAAACATCCAGCAGTTATTGTCATTAAATAAGTTTGTTTTATGGTTTAAAATCTAGTTTTATTTAAAAATGAACCCATTGATGGGCTGAACTGAGCTCACCCGTGGGCCTGATTTGGCCCCTGGGCCACCAGTTGAATAGCCCTGCTGTATGGTAAGCTTATATATAAAAAACACCTGTTCCAGGAAACTTGGTGACATTTGGCATGAACTGAAGAATATAAAAGTTTCACGACAAACTAGATAGGTCAATCATCATTTTATTGAAATGACCCCAATGGCTTGTCATCCTGAGGGCGGTGTTCGGGTGTATCCAGCCACAGGAACATAGTCGGTGCCAAAAACTCAAGTGACTGAATTTAAATGCAAAGGCCCCCCCGAGGCTGTTCGTCACATGTCGCAGACGCCTTCACGTTGTCATGCCGACTCAAGTTCAAAATATCGTTGCGTCATTCCGTGTTAACGCACCCACAACAACACAAAACAGGTGTGGAGCCGCGAATTAAACATTACTGTTTTAGATGATGATGATGATGTCATGACGTGAATAAAATTGCGCAACATTTTGAGTCCGAGCTCAATGATTCACTTTTAACTGTCTATTCAGCAAAAACAAAAACGTCATATTTGGATCATTTATAGTCTAAATTTAATCGTTTAAGATTTTCCCCTGACCAACAAGTATGAGAGAGAATATGAGAGAGCAGCAAAGGCATGGACAAAAAGTTGGCTGTTTATTCTTTAAACATGCCGAAGACTGAGTGCACTGAAAACAAACTTTCCTTTTAGCTCCAGGGATTTGAGAAGGCATATTTGCTGAGTGTGTTTTTGCTTTGTTGCTAAAGCCTCCCAGTAGCAAGCAAGCCCTTTCATTATGTCCACACCCATAACTCACAGCGACCGTCTTCCTGACATTTTTCTCACCTTTCCTGTTGTGACCCCCTTCCCACATGGGCTGACTTCCCAAGACGATTCTAAACAAGGCCCTCTTGTTTCACTGGACTCGACGGGGGCGTATAATTGAAAAGAAACGGCCCCCTTTTCTTTTATCGGCAGTTTGTGGAGATAGCGAGTGTTGTGTTGTGGGAACGCAGGCTCCCCCCCACACCAGGCTTCATTTAGGCTCACATTCCTGTGGTGCTAAGTGATGATCCCTCGTTCTGTTGCTAAAGCCCGTGAAGAGTGAAGCTGCAGGAGAGGAGGAGCAAGCAGGGGTCAACCACTGCAGACCTCAGAGAGGGCTTGTGCAAGCAAAACAATACATTTTTCAATAAGCGTATGAAAAGAAAAGCCTTAAGCTGGAACATCTCTTTTTAAAATGAAGCTATTACAGTAAGAACTGATGAAATAAAAATCTACTTTTTAATGGTTTTCATCTTCATTTCAGGGGGCTTGCTTTGTAACTTAGGATGTGTGTCCCCCTGCTGGAAGAAAACAAAAGTTTATATGCATTTATATATTTATATATTTTCCTCTTCTCTTTTTTCGGGACTTGCGCTGCATGCTTTGCATTAGACCGATACATTTAGCGAGCAGCACCTAAAGGTGCTTAAGCTCGCGCTGATCTTTGCCTGGGTGTGTCGTCCCACAAGGTGTGTCAGTTGACTTGGTGCCAGAAACAGGAGAATACATTCGTCCAGTTCATACGAGAAAAAAGGTGAAGACTGACACGGGTGACAAATCCACCAGAAGTTTCGGACTCGGGGAGCTCTCGTTTAGCTGGACTTCCTCTCGCGGAGCGGGTCAAAGTCCACTTTTAATAGGAAAAAAAAAAATGGCGAATGTTTTAATTTTCACAGTTTTCTTCGCGGTGTCGGTAAGTGCTTCTTGTTCCTTTTCTTTTAGTCACTTTACTTAGGAGCTTTTGTCAATATTTTTGGTTGTCAAATTGAGTAAATATGAACAGTTGCAGAGACAGGGTCTACTTTCTTCGTCAGGTCACCTCCGGAGCGGAGTCATGTTTAATCCCCAGCTCGCTCTACGTGCTCGTGCCACAAACTATCCCGGCTGGATATCAGGTCGCAAAAGGTGCCTAAATGTTTAATTATTTTTTTCTTAACTGAACATAACTTCAACTCTTGTCTTGTTTACTTTTGTTACTCACATTTTTTTTTAAAATTACTCTCCATTATTCATTTATTTATTTAATTAATTAATTTATTATTTATTTGTTTTAGTTAAGGCAGCCGACTGTGACCCCAATTCGTTGCAGTTGACTCTGAAGGACCCCAGTTTTACGATACAGATTAATGGAGAGATAACAACACTGACTCCTGTGTCTCTGGCATCCGGAGAGCGGACATTTTCTGTGAGAGCTCAGGACAATAGTGGGCCGGGCAGTGAGATGGAAGTTCACCTTGTTTGTCAAAAAATGCAGGAGACAAACGTAAGAAGACTGCACTGTTTCCATCATGGTTTATGGGGTTAAACATGTCAAATTAATTCTGGTTTGTGTGCATGTCACAGCAAAAAGGCCAAGTCTTGCTGAGGCGCACCAAAAGACGCTGGGGAGTTGCACCCTTGAACATAAGGGAGAACTACAAGGGGGCTTTTCCTCAACTTATTGAGAGGGTAAGTTTAATGACAGTTTAAAGAGCTTCAAATGTGCTGTTTACATACACATACACTGGACCTGGTGCGTCAAAGTTATGGGAAAATTAAGAATTTGGTCTATCCTATAGCCTGTTTTGGTCTGTGTATATATAGGTTCATAAAATATTTATTGACATTGGTTTCCAAGTGTAATGGCAAAATTACATGGAAATACAAGGTGGGTTTTCTCCCGGTACTTCAGTTTCCTCACACAGAATAAAAACACGCATGTTAGGCTGCCTTCAGGCCTCCCTTGCAAAAGAGATCTGTGATCTCAATGGGATTTGCCTGGTTAAATAAAGGTTTAAATAAAATAAATTTAAACACGTTTTGCATATATTATGCCTTGCTCTGTATTTCTGTTCTCATTTCTTTGTAACACATTTTACCACCAGTTGAATCTGCAAAAAGTTGTATAATTATATCAAAACATACTAGCATTCTGTTTTGAAGTATGATGAAAAATTCTGGGTAAAAAAAAAAAAAAAGACCCACATCAGCAAATAACAGATCGTATCATCAGCTAGTTTGTTTGGTTTTGGTTGGATGATCTTTATTTGCTCTTCAAATGTAAAAATCAAAGATGGCAGAAAACTTCAGCCTTCATCTTCTTTGTTGAGTTGACTAAATGCAGTATGAATCCTGAGTCCAGTTTTAACACATTTTTACTATTTTCTCACAGGCCTGGTAAAACTGATTCTAGGTCTGTTTGTGGCCCATGAGCCTTAAGTTTGATCTGTACTAGAACAGTCGTTTTCGTTGACTTCTTAAAATAGATATAAGAAATAAATCTCTAAGACATGTTTTACGACTTGATTTAAAGTGAAACAAATTCACATCATACTAAACTACAACTCTGGTTACTGTAATGCTTTCAGTGCTTGTGTTTTAAAAGAGATCCTTTCTTGTTTTATTTTTATAGATTGTTTCAGATTCTGCAGCCAACTATACTGTGTTCTACGACCTCAGTGGAAAAGGGGCGACCGAATTCCCATTTGACGTCTTCTTTATCAACCGTATTACCGGCGATCTGTTCGCGAACCAACCAGTGGACCGTGAAGAGATTGCAGTATATAAAGTGAGTGTTAAAGAAGCAACCAGTAATTATTGCAATAAAATGTCATTGTTTGATTGATTAAACCATCACCCGTCTGCAACGGCTGTCCTAAAGGAAAACCACTGTCCAAAAGAAATGTAGTTCTGAGCACAAAAACAAACCAGTTGAGAATTAAAATAATCCAACTCTTTTAGTTTTTCTTTTATTAGTTATTTTAATGCCCCTTCTCTTTACAAAGGGTCACATTTCTAAAAGTATTCACTTTAAATTGAAGCATAAAAGCAAAACAAGAATATACAAGGCCAATACAAGTCGAACAGATGGTTTTATTATAGTGCTGTAGATGTTCCTAGGGTTGATCAAAAAGTGGATTCATTTAATTAAATGGTAAAAAAAAGAAGGTTAAAATGCACCGATCACCAATGAAACGCTAATCTGAAGCTTTGATGAGAATACTAATTGTGATTTTTAAGTTCTGCTTTGTGAAAGTTATTGTCGAAGTGTGAAAAAAGATCTTGAATTAAATCTATTACCTAATCATTGTGTAATGTATCTGTCACTGTAGTGATTTGACTGGGCAGCTTGACACTGGACGTAGAATAATTCCTATTCAACAATGTTCACTTGGTTTAGTGCACTTTAATTTACTAATCTGACTCTAAAAGTAAACTCAGCCCAAGATATATTGTGCTGTTCTTCACATTTTGCAAGTATTTGTTGTGGTTTCAGATGAAAACTAGCAATTTCTCAGGAAAGTCTATCTTTGTTGTTATAAATGAGGCCCACTTTTTTTTTTTTAGATGTTATTATGGTGCTTTATTTTGCTTTTAATGCCTGATTTTGTGTGATGTTTCACTCTTAACTGTTTTTATTGTTATAAAAGTGAAGGCCTATCTGAGGACGGGTGTTGCTTGTGCTTTAAATTCTGTGGTGTGTGCTACTTAGTACTAAACAAGTGGACAATAGACTAAAGCAAACTTGTGCACTTATGTTCACAGTTGAGCGTCAGTGCTACAGACCAACGTACCGGTCAGCAAAGAGACTTACCTTTGGGCATTGAAGTAGTTGTGGATGATGAAAATGATAATGCTCCAGTTTTTCAAGGCTCACTAGATTTTTCTGTGCCGGAGCAAAGCCTCGGTGAGGAACAGGAACAGCACAACCGTCATCTCACACTTGTAACTTTTTCTTTCTGTGAATGTTCTTTAAATGACCAAGAGTTTCCCCACAGGTGTGAAGGTGGGGGTGGTGCAGGCCACAGATAAAGATGACCCTAACACTGACCATGCTAGGTTTATTTTCAAAATCCTATCGGGAGGTGACAATTTTGCCATCAACTCAAACACGGGTGTAATCACCACAAAGACCAACACTCTGGACAGAGAGGTGAGCCTTTCCATCAGTGTGATAATTATTTACTTTTATTTAAATGAAATATTCTGGTTTACATTCATCTATGTGTTGTTTATTTTCAATATCTCTTTGTCGTGTTTCTTTTTCAGGTGCTAGATAAGTACATGGTGACAATAGAGTGCAGAGACATGAAAGGTGCACCCAGTGGTCTGAGCAATACAGCGACTGCAACAATTAGACTGACTGATATCAACGACAACCCACCAACTTTCACCAAAACATCTGTAAGTGTTTGAAGGGGGGAAAAACATAAATAAAAACACAAATATTGTTATAATTCTCTCTTTTTTTTTATCAGTATACAGCCACTATTCCAGAAAATGAAAAAGACAAACTCATCCTGAGAATCCCCGTGGAGGACAAGGATTTAATGTACACACCCAACTGGATTTCCAAATTTGTCATCACAAAAGGAAATGAAAATGGAAATTTTAGGATTGATAAAGACCCAAAGACAAATGATGGACTTCTTTATGTTACAAAGGTGGGCTGAATATGAAAAAACAAAAAATCTGTATCATAATGGCAGTATTGAATTTGAACTCTGACTAGCAGAAAGTCTTAATCTCTGTTCTACAAGTTTAGCATTAACTGTATTTTAGTCAGGGAGAATGGATAGTTCAAGTAAAGTCACCTCATCCTGTGCTTTTTTTTTTTAACACCTCTCCGTTTTTCCAGCCCTTAGATTATGAAACGAACAAAAATGTAAAGCTGGAGATTTCGGCTCGCAACGAAGCTGAGCTCAACGGCACCACCGCCCAGTGGCAGACCGTCCCCGTGGATGTCGCCGTCACCGATGTTGATGAAGGCCCAGAATTCTTCCCACCTACCGTCCTCTTCACCATCAAAGAAAACCTACCAAACGGCACTTTAATAGGAACTTACTCAGCTCTTGATCCTGAGACCAGAAAGAGTGATGGCATCATGTAATTATTATTTTTTACATTAAATGCTTCATGTGATGCTGGAATCAAACAGATTCTAAAGACCCCCAGCTCCACTTTGTGTTTCTTCTCTTAAACACTGGAGGGCAGACTTCAATAACTGAACTGAAAGTGCCTTTTAATAAACTCTCTCTTTACCGATTTACAGGTATTACAAGCTCTCTGACCCAGGTATGTGGGTTAATGTGGACAAAAATACCGGAGAGCTGAGAGTTGCAAACACAATTGACAGAGAGTCAGATCTTGTCCATGATGGAATGTACAACATCACCGTGAGAGCTGTTGACCCCTGTAAGTTACATGCTCTTTCTGCTCTCTTTATTAAATCTTTACAGAAAACGGCATCAGGATGAGTATATCCTACAAACCGTCATTTTTTTGATTTTTTTACTAATGAAGTAAAACACAATACACTGCTGCCTAAACCTCAATCCGATGGATGTTTGCCAAACCGAAACCCAATCGGTGGTTTGGGAGTATGTCTAGTCAACCTGTTGAATTATGTCAGGGAACATATTGTTCACAGTGCCACTTCTGATGAAAGCTTAATATCAGTCAGACATGAGCAGGAAACAGCCCTGCCCCGTACCTGCCTGAACATAATGTCTTTCTTTCCCTTGAGAACATCTGTTGACAAGCAAGTGCTTTAGTTATTATTTTTTTTTTTTTTTACTGTGACTCATGTTATCTCATGATCTGGCTTGTTGCTTCTACACGTGGAAAGTTTTTTTTTAATATATTCCCAATAACTAAAAACCCACTAACTAAAAAAAAAGATTGTATTTCCTTCGTATAAGCGATGTTGACAAGCTTATGACTACTTGAGAACTTATGTAATTCTGCTGTATTTCAGCTTCCAAGTCAGGAATTGGAACAGTCGTTCTTGTGATCGAGGATGTCAATGACAACCAGCCAGTCATCCCACCTCAACTGGTGATGTGTGAGAGCAAAACGGACCAGCTTAGCTCCTTGTTGATCATGCCTGAAGACAAAGACCTGAGCCCATTTTCTTCACCCTTTAGCTTTAATTTATTACCTGAGTATGAAGAGAAATGGTCTCTGAAAGCATTAAATGGTAGGTACTTTTAATTGTAGTCACAGAAGTTGTCAAAGCGTTGGTTAGATTCTGTTTGCTGCGTGTGTTTTAATGAGTTTTCCCCTTTCCTATCAAGAACCATGATATATTGATTGAAGCTGTTATTAAGCATCTCACGTGCTTTCTTTTTAGCAACTACTGCCACGCTGGCACAGGTGAAACCACTTCCTACAGGGATATACGAGGTTGGCATGATCGTCAGAGATCTGCAGGGATTTGGTGAAAAACAGACGACGAAAGTAACAATCTGCCAGTGCCGGGCTGGAGTCTGCCTGGCCAAGCGGAGCTCTGTGGCTTTAGGGCCAATGGGCGCCTTGGCTTTGTTTCTGCCTCTGGCTCTCCTCCTCTTGCTCTGTGAGTCTCTCACTGCTGTCACGTCGGTAGATTTAGTAAAGATTCTTGCTGTGGAGTCAGTGAGCTGCTCAGAGTAACACATTCCTGCGGTTTATGTAGAAAGTTAAACGTTTTACATGTTTGTCTTTTGAGCATCTAGCAGTGACATGACAATATGATGTAATGTACAGTGTAATTCTAATATGCCTATATCTAAAGTACTTGTTTTGATTTTGCAGTCTTAGTCCTTGCCATTTTCTGCAGTACAAAGGGAGATATTGCAAAATTCGATGAATACGGAAACACCGGTGGAATTCTGCTAGCGTCAAACACAGAAGCCCCGGGAGACGAAGTGGTAAGGCCGCCATCATAAAACCACCGGAGAAACCTACCTTCCACTTCAACTTTTTTTTTCGTTTTGCTGTACTTCACTGATTCCATTGTGGTTTGCTTTGCTCCGCAGGATTCTAATCTCATTATTGCTCCTACCACGGGGCTTGATCACGCAGTTAAAGGCTCCAAAAAAGGTTCTGTGGTGAATACAGGATGGCTGGGAAACATTAGCTCGAGCACAATCGGAGGCCACAGCATGCATGACTTTGGATACCAACCTGGCATAATCACGACTAACCTTCATGAATACACTTCCAGCCAGTATGATCGCAGCGGTCAGCTCGTTGGTAATGGCATGGATTACGGGCAGTTCAGCCAAGACACATCCTATATGGAGACCTATCGAACAAATCAGCTCCTCCTCGATCGAGTAAGGTTTAATTATACACGTCCTTGATTTTTATAATATACCGGTAGTAGAGATTTATGTAGGGGTAGAAGTTAGCTTTAAAGCAGGTTCTCAAACTTTTTGGGTTCAGGGACCCCCCCCCCCATAACACTCATATTTATTAAATAATTTTCTTCAGTTTGTCTCTTTAATACAATGGAAATATCTGTGTAACATAAATACTTAAGACCTGTTCTTTAATAGTGTTAATACAATTTTTATACTTTTAAACATGAGATATTTTTCATTCAAGACACACTTTAGATGCATTCACACCAGCCCTGTTTAGTCCGCTTTAATCGGACTCTAGTCCGTTTGCCTAGAAAGTCTGTTTTTTTTGGGGAGGTGTGAATACACAAACTCTTGATATGGACCAAAAAAAGTGAACTCTGGTCCACCTAAAAAAATTAGGTCTCAGTTCAGTTGAAGTGAACTCTGGCGCGGTTCGAATGCATTGTGAATGCAAGCGGACGAGACCGCTCCAAAAGCAGGAAGTGGACTACAGCGCAGGGCATTCTGGGTAAATACAACCAAAACAAACACGCTTTTCAGGTCTCACTTGTAAATGAGCCTTCGAGGCTCAGTGTGATTTATCTGTTTTAAATAAAGGTTGAATGAATGAAAATTTCATACCTCATACAGAGCTGTCTCAGCCGCCTTGTATGAAAAATAACATTCTCCATGGTCTTCTGCTTCATCTTCTGCTCATTCTGAGTCCATTGTTGGAAAATGTTTGTTTGGCACATGAGCCACAGACAAAAATCCTAAAACTGCTCAAATATGACACCACTCCATTTTTATTTTTATTTCTAGATGTAAGTTGTGCTCAGTGTCTTCTTCAGAGGTTTTTGTGTAGTTTCCTTCAGTAGTTCTTGGTGCAGCACCACCATAGGTGGGGGGGGGGGGCAGGTTGGCTCGATTGACAATGCAGCGTGAATGTGAACCACACCAGCTGAAAATGTAAACAAATGTTCTGAATTTTGATCCCCAATCAAACTGAGTCTACCAAACTATCAGGTGTGAAAACGACCTGAATTAACATTATTAATGTCACCTTCCAAAAATTACAGCTTTGAGAGAATTAACAGCATCAAAAACCACTTTAAAACTTTATTATGTTCATTATGTGAGTAGGTAAATGTATTGTCACTTCTTCAAATTATTACAGAGAACTACATAAAACTGAACAGAATCATAGCAGCAGCAGTCATACCAAATAACAGGGCTTAATTTATTTATTTATTTATTTATTGTAAATTTATTCATTTCATATAAAAAACAATGACAATTTTTAGAAAGAAAAAAATTAAACAAAAAAACATAAAATGAAAGGAAGCAGAAGAAGAAAACATTTCTTATTATATCTGCTCCCTATTCCTAATATAATTTGTAAACGGATCAATGCTGGAATGCAAATAGTGTGTGTGTGTGTGGGGGGGGGGGGTTTCTGGGGGTCCTTCCCCCAGAAAATTTTGAATAAAGTAGATGCAATTTCCTGCATTTTGGTGTATTTTAATGGGTTGTTAAACATTTGCTTGCAAAAGAAAAAGGTTTTTTTTTTTTGGCGGACCCCCAAAACACCAGCTCGCGGACCCCCGGGTGTCCGAGGACCCCAGTTTGAGAACCACTGCTTTAAAGGGATAAGGGTGAAGCAGAATGATTTGTCCATCTGCAAAACGATTTCATTCTGCGAGGTTTAATAACTTCTGTTATCTGTGCGTGTGTGCCACAATGTTCTTCTCTAAACCTTTAATATTTCGCAAATTCTTGGAAATATATTTATTTTCTGCGACTCCCTCATCGTTCCGCGTCTGCCTTACAGAAAACGTTCGCCTTTGTGACCGAGGACGACGGACGGTTCGCAGAAGACATCGTCCACTCTTACAGGTACGAGGGGGCGGGCTCCGACGCCGGCTCCGTGGGGTGCTGCAGCGATCAGGGCGACAGCGCTAACCTCGACTTTCTAGACGCGCTCGGACCAAAGTTCAAAACGCTCGCGGACGTTTGCACGAAGTCGTGAACAAAGACTGTTAACGGAGCTGACTATTCACCGTACGGGAATCGGAGAGCTGGCGTCTGAATGCTCGTCGCACCCTCTGAACTGTGTCCGTGTTGCTTTTTCTTGTTTTGTTTGTGGGAAGCTTTTTGGTAAAAAGTCTTTTGCACTGAAAACTAAGCAGATGCTTTAGTTTGACATGGGCTGCATTCCTGTGCGTTAATTTCACTCCCAAAAGTTTATATGAAGAGATGCAATGTTTTTTAGTCTTTTTATCAAAGTGTTTATGAATCTTATGTGTTCATGTGACATGTGTGGTTAATTTGTTTGTTACCATAGATTTAAAAAAAAAAAAAAAGTTTTTTAAAAGAAAAGAACCTTAATGAACAAAGACTTTAATGCAAATGCCTTTTAATGACATTTCATTTAGTATTTTATGTCAAGTCACACATTAACATCCGTTTTCAGAATTCTGTGGGTTGTTCTGCAGCCATTTTCAACTGGAAGTCGATCCATTTTTAATTTTTTTCTTCTGTCATGCACTAATTGTCTGTGCAAGCACATTCTGGCTGCACTGGAATGTGTTTACAGTTAACTGGGTGTAGGTTTGGGCCCTCCGTCGGTGAGGTTGCGACATTCTGACGGCGCTCTTGTGAAAGTCGACACAAGGGCGTGAACGGGAGGGAGGAGTCGGGCGTGACACCGACCTCGACTACAAAATCACACATGTCCGTAAAGCCTGCTGATTGTTGCTATGTTTTTTTTAGTTTTTTTTTTACTTAATGCATTAAAAGGATATTCAACTTTTACTGTTCTTGCAAGTCTTGAGTTTTTAATTTAAAGAAGAATAAAAAAATCAAGCCAGATTTGTTATGAAGCTACCAACTGCACTGAACACTGCTGCTCAGGTCTTGTGTTAGAACTTGTAATATTTTCACGCTGCTTCAGCCTTTCAAGCTGAAACTGGAGCTCAGACACTGTGTACTCTGGGTTAATGATTTACTGGGCGTGGCACATTGTTAGAACACACAACAGGTCTTGACAACAAGCTAATGTTTACCTGTGGCGCTTGCAAATCAAGCTGGTGCAATGGGACGATTACAACTTCCCTGTTCGTCTCCATGACAACGGTTCTGCCCAAAGCTCTGCAGCGCATAAATAAAATCAGTCTTTTGGATAGAAATATAGGCTAATATGTATAAACAGTTGTGTGTCTAACGTGTAGCGTCGCATAAATGATAAAAAGAAAAAACGTGAAGTTTCCTGAAAGGGAACTGATCCCCCTGCAAAGATCAAACGGGAATCTTTAAAACTACAGGATTATTATCTGCACAGATTAAAATCCTACTGAAATCATTATAAGAAGATGTGAGTGAGATGTTAACATCAAGGGGCTTTGATTAATATCCCGCTGAGGCCTATTAGATTCCTGGAAAGTCACTTAAAACGATAAAAAGTCCAAGATAAAATATAACTCCTGTTTTAGTAGAGAGCAGCTTCTTTAGGGTTTCTATTTAATTACTAATCAAATTAAAGTGCTGTTTGATGTTTTTTTTTAAGGACTTCCAGCTACTACCAAACCAAATTTTGTCTAATATTTGTAAAATCATTATTCTTGTGTTGGTTAGTGTGAATTAGCTAATTAGCTGTGGTGTCGTCATGAATTGGGGTGACTCTAAAAGTTTATCACTTGTCAATGTGCACTGGACGAACAATTTCTGAGAGTTTTGTTCAAATCCGTCAAGTGGCTCCTGAGATATTTTGCTAACAGACGGACCCTAATAGGTAATGGCAAAGTTTAAAAACAAACCTCGTGCAATAAGTTAGTGCTTGGAGTATGTGTTGGGGATCAGTCTCAGCTACTACCACCCCAACTTTTAACTCCATATTTGTTAAGTTGACTGGGTTGTAGATGTTTTGCTGTTTGATAAGTCCACACTACTGTGACGACAATCTTAAATGGGATTGACTCCCTAAGTTAATCAGCTGTAGATGTACATCCAGTGATTACTTTCTAAGATGTTTCATTAAAATCCTTCCACTTGTGCTTGAGATATTTTGCTAACAGACAGCTGATGTTATCAGTTTAATATTAAAGGTCACAGTTGTTGAACTCCTGACTTGTGCGACAGCCCACAGTGATGACTTGGCTCTGATGCTCGGGGTTAAAAGTTGCATGAATAGCTAACTGATTTGACAGTTTATTTATAGGCGCTTGGTTACCACTTAGTGAGTGTGAAATTCATCACTTCAGTCAGACTGAGACGCAGGGCTGAAAAAATTCATCATAACAGCAGCTCCTTCTTTTGGCTCGCACTCTTCCTTCTTGTTTGCTGCAGAGAATTACATTTTTCTCACGTTCATTTTTACAGTAAAAAAAATAAAACCACGTAAAAAAAAATCTGCAACGCACAAAACAAGCTCAAGAGCCTCGATGGGGCTTTGAGAAAGAAGAAAACCTTCTCGGCTGCTGATGTTAAAACGTATTTTAAGTATATTTTATGTGGAGGTTATCAAAACGCGTCCCTGCTTTGTTTACAGTAAAGCAGCAGATGAGTTAAATAATTCAGTTTTTATGTCCACCCTTATCAGGACCGCTTGAGCCGTCACTTTATGTCACCGCTGCAAAAATGCAATTAATTCTAAGGCAGAGGCGTGAAATTCATTCATTGCTTGTAATTAGTTTCCGTCATAGTGTGAAAACAATCTCTCCACTTAGACTTGTTCATCCTCCATCACAGTCTGACGACCTGCAGCTTCACTCCACCTCTCTGTAGAATATTGACAGGAGCTGCATTTAGCAGCCGTTAAGGTTTGGACGCCATTTTTCTGTTTTTCTTTGAGTTTAAGATTAATATTGTGTCAATTCTGCTTTCGAACTATTGTTTTGACTATATTATATATTTTTTCTATGCATTTTTTTTTTTACAAACTAATACAAACTTTGTGCTATTTTAGCCGTTTATGTAGGATATCAAAGTGTTCAGGTCAGTCAGGAGATGGGTGCTATGACTTCTTTTTTTTTTACTTTTACACTTTTCAGAAATTTTAACTTTATTTATAAATATTTCCTGCAGAATTACTTTTTCCCCCCTTTCGGCTGCTCCCTTCTTCAGTGGTCGCCACAGCGAACTAAGTCGACTTGGCAATTCTTTTCATCGGTCCGGATGTCACTCCTGACACAACCACAGACCACCGAGCTCCCACAGCTCTCTGTGTGGAGCAGAGAGCTGCTATCTGGGGTGTCAGGGGAGCAGATGGTCGAGGTTAAGGGCCTTGCTCAAGGGCCCAGGGTGGGGCAAATGTTTGTGGAGGCATGTGTGGGTGTTTCATCTTTCCCACTCACATTTTGATGTTGTCAGTACCGGGAGTTGAACCGACGATCTTCCGATCATGAGCCCACCCTCTCTAGCCTCTGCACCACCACTCTACCCCACAAAGGTCCTTCAAACTTAGAGCTCTGTTTGAAAATCTGCTTCAGCATTCTTGCCCTGCTGTTGTCTTCTATGCTTTTAGCTAATCTTTTCTTGTTTTAGCTTCAAGCTATCATTTAGCTATGTTTAGCTTCAAGCTACCGTTAGATACTTTTAGCTAGTCTTTTGCTGTATTTAGTTTAACCCAGTACTTCTCTACTTCTGGCTTTAGCTTAGTGTTTTGCTACTTGTAGCTTCTTTCTTTCTTTCGCTACAGCTGTCTTTTTAGTTAGCATTTTGCATCATTTAGCATTTAGCTAGTGTTTCATTCCTTTTAGCTGTTAGCTTAGGTTCCACTTCTTTTTTTTTTTTGCGTGCAAATTTCAGCAGTCAATCAGCATTTACTCAACATTTTCACAGAAAATGCAGTTTATTTGAGGGGGTTTTTGCATGACATGCTGAACTCCCATTACAAAATATTTCCCCCAGTGTTTGCCATTTGATAAACCAGACCAGGTGTATCATGTAAACAGAGCTGAGACTGAATAATTAAAGTTTCATGCGCACGTTAATCCAGAAGATAACACACATTTTATTGCAAAGAACCACATTGGTTACCTGCAGTTTTCATGAATTTTGTTGCACTTCCTGTGATGAACACTTGGGGGCACACTTGCCCTCTCATCTTGAGTTCCTCACATGGGGGTGGCTGCTGGAGGGATGCTGTCAGAAGGTACTGGTCTGAGGGAAGACACTTTTCTGATGGTCACGTGTTTCCAAACACCTGAAACAAGTTCAAATAAACTGTGGAGCCAAAACTGAACTCTTAAATGAAGTGATGTGACGAGCCGAGGCAGGAATCCTGGGATACTTTGATGTGGCATATGCCAGACACTTATTACAAGCTTAAAGTCCCCTTCATTGATATTTATGTTTCCAAAAAAAAAACAACAAAAAAAAAAAACAGGCTTCCTACTTACCTGTGTAATTATGATGGTTTAAATGGGAGTGGAATAAAAAAAAAAAAAACTCTTGCATTGTGTGCAGGATGGTGAACTTGTCAAGACTGACCTTTAAAAGTCACAAATTTACCAGGTAAGATAATGAACAACACCAAAATATTAGGATATTTATAAAACTATATCATGCTTATGTCTTTTAAATGAACGTGCATAGGATCACGAACACTGTGTGGTATCTGTTCAGAACAAAAAGGCACAAAAAAAAAACTGTCCATTTTTTTTCTGTCTGCAGAAGCAGGTGAACATCTTGCAGAGGTTTTGAATCAATACTCATCCAGTAATCATATTTATTATCATATTTAGTCCATTCATGCGCAATATGTTTTCTTGTTTTGCTTCTCTTTTGTCACTTTTTGACGATTAGTTTTGTCTCAGATTTGGAAAAGTTCTTTTTGAATTTATGTAAATGCAAATATAGATCCGATGGTTTTAGATCTCAGTTTGGACACTTTGTTGCTCAGTTGATTGTGTTGCATCTCCTTTAACGCTGTTGTATTTCTGCATTTGTTTGTCTTTTGTGAACACGTGGGTCATTGTGTGGGTCATTCTCACACATTTCCATTCCTCTGTAGCCATTCTGTCTCTTTTAGTCTTACAACTTCTTTTCTTTTTATAGATGCCTTTTTGATGTCTATTTCGGTTTAGTTTGCATCACTTGACTCCATTATGTGCGTCCCTTCATCTGCCCATGTCCGTATCAAATCAAAGGAAAACAACAAGGAAATAATTTGACAGATTTAATACATTCATGTATTATGTACATTTCACTGTCATTTGAATTTCTGCTTCAAAAAGAAGAAGAAAAAAATTACATTTAGCTGAATTTATGTCACTCCCAAACTTTTCGAGCACCACTCAGAATTTACCTGTGACAGTTTTGTTCGCGTTTACTCTTAATAAGTGCACGCAGCTGACTTTTTAATTAGACATCTGCCAAACTGAAAGCCTCAGACACTTAATGTACGCAGGTCTCAACTCAACAGCACTCAAGTGATAAACAGTCGGAAATATACGTTGAATGACTCAATTCATACAGCAAATTTAATTAGCAGTAAGCATAAACTAAATACATTTTATAATCTATTCCTCCTTTTGTGTGTGTGAGACACAAATACAGTTTTGCACACACACATTCATGTGCAGGCTTAATTACTATTTAAACCGCTTATAAAAAGACTGTATGAAGAGAATAGCTCAGAGGAGCCTCGTCTTAGACTCTCAGCTACTAACTCATAAACTTTAACGCATTAGCT